ACTGGACATAAGTTAGCGTCATAATGTGACATCTGTTGACGCTAACACCTCCCCCTTTCCGTCGAAGAGATCAATCCTGGCATCTGCTCACTCAATTGAGTAAGCTGATAGAACAATCAGATCAACACCAAAGGAAAGTTGAAAGCGATCAACAAATGTAAATAAACATAAAAACAGTTTACAAAATAGATGTAACAACAGCGTTATAACATAGACATAAACAGTAACAAAAAGAAAGAATCGAACAGTTTACTAATGTTCATGTGAGATCCAATTATAGTAATTCGGTTCATCAAAATCTGTAAAAGTTAGCATTTGTTCGGCATGTTGTTGATGAATTGGATTATTGAATTGTATAGATAACTGATGACGACGAATTTCCGGAAGACGACTATATTTTATATTTTTGTATCTTAAATAAGTTTTTATATCTTTTAATTGCCATGTACGTGCTATTGGTCGAATAACAGTGTAACTTGCTTGTCTTTTTTTCTGCTTCTCGTGTCGTCGTTTGTTACGGCGAGTAATTGCTGCACGTGATCGACGATGTGAACGAGAGATTTTTGTCGTTTTTTGAAGAACTAATACGTCAAAGTGTTGTTGAATGTGGTTCCATAGAAAAGGTAGATGGTTTATGTGGATATGCATTCCATCATAATTAAGTTGATCAGCGGTTATAGGAAGATCAACAACAGTAAAGTTTTTACGAGTAGCTAAGTCTTTGAGAAGAGTATTATAATTGTTTATATTTGATAATAATGTAGAAATCGATGAAAATAAGAAAGATGGCTTTAGACAAGGAAAAACCGAACTTATAGAAATATCTGTTAGATGGTTAAGATGAATATGATGAGAACGAATTAGATCAATAAGATTATCGACTTGAACTACGATTTCTGATGCTGAATTATTACGAATAGAATTAGTTCCAATGAGAAAGAAAACACCAGAACATGAAGATAAAAGAGAAGACATAGATGAAGACAGAATGATGGAAGTAGTACACAATTGAGTGTTTGACTGATTTACCCACTGTAAACCCGAAATAGATTTAGTTATGAGTTTGTATGACGATGTAGTAATAACGGGTGGAAAATATTTCGCGTGACTGTCGGCCAAAATCAAAAATAATGGTAAATCAAGTACTATATTAAGTTGAATGGTATTTAAATTAATAGAAGTTGGTGAATTTGAAGATGATGATGTAATTCTGTTGAGATGAAAATATAGATTGGTTGGTGCGAACAGATCATTCATTGCGTAAGCGAGTAATGACTGTCGAGTACGTTTATCAGTATGTGTTTGCCACGTATCAAGATTCAAGTCTAGTCCACAGGACCAGATATTGAAAGTTAATGTTTTATCTAAAGCTTGATGGAAAATGAATTCAACTGCTTTTTGTAGTGACCATACTGCATTTTTTGCTTTGTAAGGACGAATTTCAGTAGGACAGATACATGTATTATAATCCTCTGTAGGATCATTTGGATTGAACTCATCATCAATATCATCGGAATTAACTAAACAGACTAAAACATCTTCCGAAATACATTCATCAATCACTGGTTGATGACGAGCTAAACAATCGGATGTATGTGAATGCGTTTGATTCCATATTTTAGTAAAATACTTTTGAAGATCGAATGTATTAGTAACTTGAGATAGATCAAAAAGATTGAAAGCTTCAAAAGGACGTAATTCTTTTTCAACATCTCCCCAAGCCATCAGCTTATTATTTGAAGAAAATATCATTCGGCATAATTGTTTTATTGAATGAAATAAAGAAGAAGAAGCAGGTGGGAGATGTTGGACTTCAATGATGATAACTGTAGAACAGTTTTCGTCATGTATTGCCTGTATCTGAATCAATGCTGGTAGAGAATGAGGATATCGTCGAGTAGGTCTGTCTGCTTCAGTATCAATGGTATATAAATGAACATTGGAAATTTTGTGGATTATACCGTAAAGATGAGATTCAGATGTTCGACGATGAATGAAAATAGGTGACTCATAGTTGTATGTAGGCCAATGAAAAGGATCAAGAGTAGACAATAATTGTTGATTGTTTTGAGCCTTTCGACCTGCTTTCAACCAGTTTGTTCTTTTACGTCCAGTTAAATTTGCTGGACAATTTTCCATAGTTCGTTTTAAAAAACGTTCATGAGGATTCGCAATAGGTTGTCGATGAGGAAAAGTTGACTGTCTCATTCTCAAGTCGTTCATATTCATACGGCTGTTATACTCCGAAGGACTCGGAGATAACATAGATGAATGATGAGAATCAGACATTGCATTTGATGAAGCATAAAGTGAGTTGTTGAAAAAGATAGAAGATGATTGAAGCAATGTAGATGACAAAGTTTGTGACTGAGATGGTAACATAAATATGTTATTATATTGCGGAAACATTGGTCGACCGTGATACAAGTTAGAAAAAGCCTATTAGAAGATTGTAAGTATTAGAGAAAAAAGAAAGATTTGATACATAGAATCATTTAAACGAAAAGAAAATACGAAATTATTGCGAATTCTTATATATCAAATCGTGTTTTCCAGATAAATATTGAGGAGATACTATGAATGTAAATCTGAGGCGCCATCATATTACATTGTCTATATAAGTAAGACTCAGGCTGATTCTACCAAGCTGCCAAATAAAGTGGAAGAATCAATAGTCCTACTCATATTCTGACTGTATCGCAAGATATTATTTGAAATAACGAGTGATACAAAGAATACAATTCAATTTCTTGGTGATGATTATAAGTAGACGAAAGTAGTTTTAGGCAATTATGATAGGTCGAAGATCTGCAACATGTACCTGCGAATAGACATGATTTTCGTCATCGAATACTTCATATATTGGATGATATACTTGAGTTATCATCTTCGGTATAGGTGAAAATTTCGAGTCTAGCTTTCCTCGATTACCGTGAATTCGAGTCAATACTTTATCACCAATTTTGTACTGTGGATTCAGACGATTACGATCATACATATTTTTATTATTTTGTTGTTGCAAAATTATATGATGTCTTGCTGCTTGGTGGTAAATGCGCAAAGTCCTTTTTAACTGCTCAAAATAATCATTCGGTTTAGCGAATGAAAAGTATGATGGTCGTGTATTAATAGGTAAACGAGATAATCGACCATATACTAACTCGTAAGGTGAGTACTTTGTTGTTTTATGAATACCAGTATTGTAGGCGAAAACGACCGCCTGTAGATACTCATCCCAATTATTATCCTGTGTATCTTGTAATTTAGCTATCTGAGGAATAAAGGTAGCGTTGAATCTTTCAACAATACCATTAGTTTGAGGATGATAAGGAGTACTATAAATATGATTATAACCTATCAGATGAGTAATATTTTCCATCAGCTGATTTCGAAAGTGTGATCCTTGATCACTTAATATGACTGCTGGTACTCCGTATTTACAAAAATATTCATTGAACAACGCTTGAGCAGTAGTTTCAGCGGTACAATTAGATAATGCGATTGCGGTAACATGACGTGTGAAATAATCAGTAATGATTAAGACATACTGATTCTCACGTGGTGTACGTTTTAGAGGACCGCAATAGTCAATTCCTATCAAAAGAAATGGTCCCTCAGGTGGATTGATAGGACGTAAATGTCCATATTTCTTTTGACGAGTAGTATTGTACTGCTTACATAAAAGGCATGATTGAATATAACGTCCTATGGTGGGCTTCATAGCTGGCCACCAGTAAAGATTTTTTATTTTATTATATGTACGATCGAAAGAAAAATGCGCTCCTGACATAGGATCGTCATGACAAGCTTGAAGTAAAGAATCTATCATTGATGATGGTAAAAATATTACTTCTATATTTCGTTTACAGTGACGTGAAGGTGTGATTAATTTATAAACGATATTGTTTTTCACGATAAACGGAACCTTATTGTTATTAGTAAAAATTTGTTTAGTAATATTTTGTATGATAGGATCTTTTGCTTGTTCTTCTTTCAATTTACTCAAATCAAATTGATTAAATGAAAACTTTTTTGGAAGTGAAGTATCCGATGAAAAGTCAACGAATGATTCATCATTAGACTGGTTTTCACTAACGATTTTACTATCACTTTTAGCGTTAGTCGTAATAGAATTATGCTGTTTAGAGTGCGATCTTAATGTCATAGTAGCAAGTAAGTTTTTATTTTTCTTATGTTGAGATAAAGATGAGGTTGCTACCTGTTTAGATGGTAAGGATAATGATGGATTAGACTCGTTTTTACTTTCTAATCCATAGTCAATTTTGAAAAGCTCGTCCTGAACATCATTAGAGTATCTCGAAAGAAAATCAGGAAGACAATTTTCACGTCCGTTTATATGAATTACTTTATCAATATTATACTCTTGAATTAAATGTGTTATTCGATCGACTCTAGCATTACGGACTGTTTTTTCCATTATATGACATAGCGGACAATGATCCGTTCTAAGAATAATACTGCGACCTAATAGAAAAGTACGCATTCTAGAAAAACACTTATAGATAGCTAAAGCTTCTTTCTCTATTGTGCTATATTTACGTTCACATGGAGTCATCAATTGAGAGTGATAGTATAAATTATATACTTTACTATCAATTTCTTGCTGAAGGACTCCACCAATTCCTATTGCACTAGCATCCGTAGTTAACATTAATGAAACGTTATCAACTGGATAGTGTAGAAATAACGGTTTAGTGAGTAGCATTTGTTTTAAATCGTGAAAAGCTTTAGATTGTGCGTACTTCCATTTAAACTTATGTCGCTTATCCTTAGTCAAATTAGTTACAGCATGTATTGGAGCGGCTACAGTTGCAAAGTGAGGAATGAATTTTCGATACCAGCTAAGAGCGCCTATAAACTTATTTGCTTGAGCAAGTGAACGTGGTTCTTGAATCGCAAGAATTGCTTCAATTTTCTCTTTCATAGGCGTAATACTATTTTTACTGATTGTATGTCCCAAATAATCGATTTTATTAGTGGCGAAAACACATTTAGGAGGATTAAGAACTAAATTTTTGGTTTGTAAGG